ACTTAAAAACCAGAGCAGGAACATAATGGATTACTTATTAATGAGGCTTCAAGTTGTGACTGTAAACCCAAATGTTTGTGGATTCGGAATTTTCGAGAGCATTTCACTCCCAATGTTCCCTTTTACTGTATATAACGAGAAGAAGTATGGAAAACCCATTGGCTAGAAGAGCATGAACAAATATTGGTATAGTTGCTATACAGGGTGTTTATTGAGTACATGTGGAAAATTCAGGAGCATATGTTGATAACGTCAAAATAAGAAGAAAAGTCGTCCGCTAGTTATTCATTTCTGAGATACAGAGTGTCAAAGTTTGATTGTCATTTCGGCATTTTGTGAATAAATATTCCAAAATAATCTTGATGTTTGATAGGGATACAATTCCAGAATCAGAATTATTTCGGAATGTAATCCCAAAAAACAACAGGAAAAAGAATCATATTTTGTCACTCTGTATCTCCTTAATTTGACGGCTGCAACATGCTACTGGATTTCTTACACGTACTTAAGAAACACCCTGTATATGTCGCCACTCTATCATCCCTAATCATATTTTATTTTGCCTTACATAATTTACAGATTTTGTTTAACATATTATCTTTATCTCATACTGTTTTATTGCTTTGGAAATGCCTGCTTGTATGACTATGTTTTGTAATTTGTCAGTAATATCATTTTCAAGTGTAAAGTCATCAATTCCATTTTCCATTTTGCTCATCTTCGTCTCTTCTTCCTTTCTGAGTATGAGTAGATTTTCAATTTCAATTAACTTCTTTCCCTTTTATGATGCTCAATCTACTTCTGATAAGCTTATTGTGGATTTTTTTGCCATTTTGAAAATAATCAGTTCTGGGTAGGACCGATTTTGTGTATGATTGTGACCTAACTTTCAACATTTTGAATATGTCTCCATAGTTGGTATGTTCATCCTCAGTTCCATTATTGTTAGATTCAGGACCAAACATCTTCCTAGGTACTTCTTTTTTTCTGGCCATGGTGCGTAAATTTAACCGACATTGGATTTCGTTGTTTTTTCCTTTCAATAAAATTAATTATTCGAAGATGGCGTTCAATCTTGACCATTATATGCACTGAGGAATGGGTGCAAATTTTTGAATGAAAAAATTAGTATGAGTTAGTTCAATAATGAGCTGACTAGGAAACTGTTTTTCATCTCTTGGAGCGCACGAAAGAAAATTCCTATAATGTTCGTGGAACATCGTGCGTACCCAGGAAGGATAGGAAGGTGTTGGATTTTCATTTGAACTTCTGGAGGTTATAAGTTCTTGGGAAGATCTCCAAATATGCGAAAATATTCGATTCCCAATAGAGTTTATTTTTTCTCCGTATGAATAATCGAGTATCCCTGATGATGTTATTTTCTGAAAATAGAGGATTTTTAGAGCACAAACGGTCGATCGCATATATTCCTGCTAATGATTCTATTTGCAGAATACAACGTGGTTGAAGTGTATAATAGTTTAATTTTGTCTGAAGTTTCTCGCAGGTTATTTATATTCATAGCGGTGGAGTGTAGTGTAAATTTACCCCACTATGTCAACAGTAGGAAACATAATTATAAAAGAGACTTTTTTATGTAAGGTGTTAGGTTCGAGTGAAGCTGCTTTGGTTACACAAAATTAAATTAAATTTTCCTTCTATATAATATTAAAGCAAGGGATATATCTCATGAAACCGGAAAGGCTATGGGATGAAAAGTATCTCAGAAAATTGTGGAAATGTTTGGAATCAATTATGAGTTGATACTGACGATGTATTGAAGCATGATCTTCTAGTCAATGATATTTTATGTTTGTCATTTACTCCACTAACAAACCTCTGTTTTATATGAAGAAAATATGTTCCTTGAATGCCATCTTGTCTTTCTGCTCTTCTGGGTTTTCTAATAATAAATCATTGTTCAATCACTGCACATCAATAAGGATCTTTCAGCTCAGCTAACAGGAAATTAACAGATTATTATACCGCATCATATCGAATCAGAATTTTCACCCAGAATGACGTCCATTATTTATTAGTGATTACTGATACATTCCAATCCGATATGATTTCCACAGTACGATTAATTCCGAAATACATCTCTAATTTGTACCACATGGTGGTCAGAATCCGTAATATTCAGTAGTTATATTCAGGAGTAATCCTCAAACAGTTAAAAAAAAACATTTGCATTCATAGCCCACTTTTCCGAATTCGTGATTCCCAGATCCAAACCAATCATATCAGGCAATACCCATCGAATGTTCATTTCAACATACGTGAAACAGAAAATGAAGTTCAGTAGCTGATTTGTGAAAATTTAAGCCGTACGGAATGGAAATATTACGCCCATAGAATTATTATTGAAAAAATGATGCGAAATGATTTGAACCTTTTTATTTTCCAGAATATGTCAGTTTTCTCTACTGGAATGTATTTACACATATGAGGTTCGATTTTCATGAACACAATCAAACCAATTCTACCTTCTCACAAAAGAATATAAGCTGAAGGTCTTCAATACTGAGTTGCCATAATGTAAAATACATCAACACGTGTTGGATACATGGAAACCATCGAAAACCAAATGATTATACGATTTGTGATAATCACAGAATTGTAAGTCACCAATCGAATCAGGTTTTTGTAATTCAATTATACACTACTGCTCTATTTATCTATGAGAATTTAGCACTGATGAAGCAATTTATTGTTAATCTGATTCTAAACGAGATGGAATCAGTAGAGGAACAAATTCCTGAGGTCATGGAAAAACTGTTTGGAGAGAAATTGATGGGAAAACAGTTTTTCGTCACCATTGTTGTGTTTATTCTTGTGTCACCTATGAAAATACGCATATGCCTATTCATGTCCAACCGAAAATCTCGGTCCAGGGATCCGAACAAAAATTCAACTTTTTTCTTAAAAGTTGAGTGATTTGCCACCTACTTCATGCCAACGAACAACTCAACTTAAGAAACTCCAATTACTGGCCAACCACATTCGAATTAGTTTTACGAGTTGTTGCAACCAAGAAAACGACATGTCACAGAATTCATCTACAAAACTCCTTCGAAGTGATTTGAGTTCATGGCTTCTGCTAAAGGATGTTCGTCCAAAATCAATTTCAAGGCATGTTTTCGAAGATGTATACTCCTTCAAATGTCATGGATTATTTTTTCCGCATATCGAAATCTAACATTTTTCTGATTTCAACGAATGACAATGGGTATCATTCTAGCAAATCATTCGGTATTATATTATACTGATAACACTGCATGGTCCTCGATAAAACCTTGTTTTCTTTGAACTGTCAAAATCAATCTGACTCATACCTGTGTCCGCCATCTTGTTTCTTTCGGCCTATCTTATGTGTTAGTAACAATAAAAACAATCATCAATTGTCCGAGAAAACAGAATGACACCTTTCTGAATGTTGTTGAAAAGATAATGGTTCATTTATTTCGTTGATTATATTATTATACTATATGTATACCCATTCTTACCTGTAGTAACCGAAATATGTAAACGGTGGCCATTTGAAAAGGAAACAGAAGCTCTGTAGGTCCAGAACCAGGTCATAAAAAACTGGAACACGTTAAACTACATTTTCGAGGGGGACATCGCTGATTTGGGAAGTCTAGCGGGAATGATTACAGATTCGGAATTGAGATTTTTCAACTTGGATCAGGATTATAAATCTTGAACCACCCTGTATTTGTTCCAATTAAATGTCAGTAGATAGTAGATGAAAAGTAAAGACAGGGACATGTGAGCCGTTATGACCAATAATAAATAGTTTCGACACAAAAAATCCTCAAGTTGAAAAATCTCAATTCTGAACACCCTATATCTCTGTAATCATTCCAGTTACACCCCAAGTGTTTTTAATTGATGAAACCAGCACTTCAGCGCGAATCTAAAAATTCAATGAATCACAGGGTATTCCTTTTGGAATAACAAAGTTGTTGCTACTTTTCGATAGGCCGAAAGAAATAAGATGGCGGACACTGGTATGAGTCAGATTGATCCTGATAGTTCAATGTAAACAAGGTTCAGCATTTTAATACCACTGGTAGAAATATTTGGCGATTGTTACGACAGCTTGATGCCTAATAATTTCGCGTATAGCATTGGTTATCAAAACTTTTGAGCCGTAGGCGAGAAGTTTTGGAACAATGTCATGAATGAAATTGAAGCAGAAAGCTGGAGTATATCAATCGATGGTTATATCCAGGAAAAATATAATCACGAGTTGTATTCCTATGATTATTTCATGATTGAATCAGGGATAATACAGAAATCCGTGCCGTCAAAATTAAAAACTGATAAACGTCAAACATTTGTTGGCTGAAAAACGAAGATGGTTGCTCACAATATCTGAGTCAATTCGGCTTCTGTATTAGTAAACAAAAAGAATCGCTGTAATACAGGAGATCCTATGAAAGTGGTCGATTCTGATTGTTTCTTGAAAACAAGAGTGAAACAAGATGTCAGATTATGTGAAAAAATAATCAGATGAATATCGCCCGGCACAGCAAATATGGATTTGAAATTACTAGTGTTATTGAAATTGATGAAATGGAGGTTGAATGGAATGTTCGAGCTGTGTTGTAAAATCAATTCGATCTAATTTCAGACGGCATCGAAACCACAATAGAGCGATAACATGCATTGCCTCTTAATAATCATGGGAATGATTTGATCGTTATAACATGTGTGTCTGCAAAGATATGGATGAAAAGATGTTGTATAGTGAGTTCATCTTCTCATCATCTAATAAGACGATTTTCAATGAAGTCATTTATTAATTTTGTTCAATCTAAAGAAGAATCCACGAATGACGTCATGTTCTTCACACATTGAAAACAAACCTGAGTTCGGCACTGTGAACATTTGTTCTGTTTTGTCATTCTCGATCAAGCTGATGAACTCAATCAGGCGACCATGTATATTTATGATGGAAATATATGTTTATGATGAAAATATTTTGCTTTCAGATATACCCATGCCTTCTACACCTCCTAGGGCGACGGAAATGAAAAGTAACTCGAATAAAGAAAGTGAGTATAATATTATCTGCATGTTTTCACGTGAAAATTTATGATTTAGATTTTTCCCTTTTGGGGCATTATGTTGCTTTATCGCTGTTCTCTCAAAATTGTATGAACAAAAATCATGTTATTAATACGTATGAATACCTAGTATTTTGTTCAAATCCAGTCCTTTCACATGCGAAAGGGACAGAAAACATCTTTATAAAGAGTGGCCTATCGAAATTGTACCGCAAGGTTGGGTAACTTTTCAACAAATATACGTCGTTTTTTTCTCTAATTTCTTCAAATGGGAATGATGATCGAATGGTACCTCAATAGAAAGGGCTCTCAACAAATAAGTGCAATTGGGAGCCGTAAGATACAATTACAAAATTTCAGTTTCAGATGGACCAGTGATTGAGATATACGAACAATATCTTACAATTTTCTGTTACCATATTTTATGGCTAATGCAGCATACAAACTGTTAATGGCAAATACTGACTCTTCATTAATATCATGAAATTAGGAATAACATTCGTTTTTGGATGTATGATAAATTGATATTCATCATACAGGACGAGGAAAGAAATTCCGAATTGAGAGAACCTAATCACGAATCTGCGATTGAGGTCAATAAAAAAAAAGTTTCCATCATCATCACATGGAGAATGCGAATTCTCAATGTATTTTTATACATATATATATATATCCATTTTTTTGTATTCATAAATATGTCTGAGAATATTCTTTTTCAATAGGAATAACATTTTTATCGCATCCGTTTATAGCATTATAGAGATGAAATGTAATGAACCACTTCGTATTTGTCGAATTACAAATAAAATATTAACTGTTTTTCTGCTGATAAATATGATATGGAGGTTTCAGAGATATCTTCATGTTTCCATTCTTCACGTGCTCTATAATATAACTAAAACTATAACGATTCCAAATATGAGAATTATTTTTGACATAATCCTGTCATCTGGGTTGGTTTTTGTTCAGCGATGTATGATAAGTTGATATTCATCAATCAAGTGGTTAGAACTGGAACGATGGCTACTTGTTATTTTTACAGCCCTCTTATCACAGATTCGTCATTGGGTATTCTCAATTCAGATTTCTTTCCACCCCCTGTATGAAGAATATCGAGAGACTCGCTTATAGTATTTTCGATCTGTCCTCTGGCTAATTCAAGGATTCCCCTTTGGTCGCAGAGTTAGCCCTGGAAAAAGAAACAAGCTCTAAGCATCAAAGCCATAACATACCTTGAAAAATTTCCAGAGAATGAAACTGCCTATCACCACATCATACTATTTATAGTTGTCGCTTCTTTATTCTGCTAGACTCGTTTATAGTATTTTCTATCTGTTCTGTCTACACCCCTGGCTCTTCCAAAGATTCATCTTTGGTCGCAGAGTTAGCCCTGGGAAATGGAACAAGCTCTCAAGCAACAGAGCCACAACATATCTAGAAGAAATATCAAAAATTGAACTGCCAATCGCCACATCATAGTAGTTAATGTTGTCGCTTCTCAATTTCGGTAGACTAATTCATAGTACTTCTGATCTGTCCTCTGGGTACGACTCAGGCAACTCCGAAGACTCCTCTATGATCGCAGAGCTAGAGCTCTGGAAAATGGAACAAGCTCTGAAGCATCATATCTAAGAAAATTACAAAAATTGAACTGCCAATCGCCACATCATAGTAGTCAGATTTGTCGCTTCTCAATAGCGGTAGACTAATTCATAGTACTCCTGATCTGTCCTTTGTCTACGCCACTGGCTACTCCGAAGACCCTTCTTTGGTCGCAGAGCTGGAGCCTTGGAAAATGGAACAAGCTCTAAAGCACCAGAGCCATAGGTAACGTGAGCGCAGAAAAAGTGAGGTTTCATTGTATTCACCGCTGGGAATAAGTTGGCTGGGCCTGTCTTAACCCCGCAACTTTGCCCATTACCAGAAGCGGGTTATTGTTATGTCGAAATGGCTTCTTTCTCTGCGAGCATATTTATCATTGAAAATACACGGCAAACCATCGCGAACCATATACTGCAAAATATGTCGTCGCGACTTGCCTCAAAGTGCTAACCTAACTTCCGAAAGTTTGCCGACTCATGAACACTGAATATAATCACCTTGTTTGAATAATTTGGATTTACAATATATTTGTTGGCCAACTTTGTTCATCCTAACTTTATTCGGATTATATACTAACTTTTCCAACGGAGGATGTGAATTTGAACCATCTGCACATTTTGAACTTTCAACTGATACGGCAAGACATACAGTGATTTTTCTCACAAAATATTGCAGAAATGAGAAGGTAGGTACTTATAAGGTTTGTTTTGTCAACAGAAAGGGTCATTAAGGTGTATCTGATGGAGTGGGCCTTATCCGAATAAAATCAAAGTGAAAATGCATCACAGGATCGTGTTTCAATGATGGAACCAGCGTGGATGGCTCAAGAGTTTTTTTTTCAACCACTCTACCTTATTGAGATTGAATCACCTGCAAATATATCGCCAGTTGGCAAAATTACTGTGTACATATGGTGGATACCACATGAGGTACTTGTCGAAAATTGATTCTAGGGAAAACAAATACAACAATACTCCGACAATTCAGAAATAGATTCCTGAAGTTCACCAACCCTGATTGATTTGAGATGAAAACCTCTGAGAACATATTTCTGTCTAATATACTATTCCTCGAAATATCATTCATAGCATCATATTCGTTTCACTGTGATCGATGGAATTGATATTTTTAATCATGAACGTTTCACAAAACTCGATTTATCATCTGGTTTCACTCGACTCCTCGGCATCAAGGAAATGCACAAGGAATTTGACTCCATCATAACGTGCGAGACTAGGAAATCCATCGGAATTCTCATGACTATGGAATCGAAAACAGAAACTGGAGATTGAACGATTCACACTCACGCCTTGATGAAAAAAACTCGGCAACTGAAACAAACCTACGAAACCGCGCATACCAAAGTGATTAGTATCAACTGAATATTAATGTCTGAATTTCGGGACCGTCATTAGTTCAAATTAGATTGAAACATTAATTCGAGAAAATCTCACATGTCCACTCATTCACTCGACCTGCTGATGAAAAACAGTCCGAAGATGTATATTTCAGATATCCATTTGGAATTCTGTTTTTCGTGAAATCAATAATGATTGTAGGTTTTCTGTTGATGTATTTATACCTGATTGGTTCGAAAATTCCGCGAGAGAAATATTCGTTACAGAAATATTTTCGGAATATGAATATCATGATGAATTTCCTCTTTCACTTGGATGACAACAATAGAAGTTGGTTGTTGACATTCATTTTTTCGAATATCAGTCCTTACTTAATTTCATGAACTTCAAGTCAACCCCAGATTTATGCAAATTTGATTGATACTCATCAGTAATTTATTCAAAATTCAACGTTCTCTGCGACAATCTTGAAATCCCGCGATTTCCTTTGACATTCAAATGACCGATGGGCTACAAAGGGCCCTTCGTCATAAATCAAAAAACGATTATCGTTTGATTTCTAATAAAAAGAACAAGGATTGTTGACGGATGGTTCTCATTGCAGACAACGGGAAGCGCAACATCAGCAGAAGTTTAAATCAAGACGAGAGACCAAAAGTGACAATGGTATCCTCTTCAGAGAAGGAGGCAGTTCCATCAGGCCCAGGCTACGATAGTGGCATGGGATTATACACTCCTGCGGCACCTCAAAATTCAGGTACAGATCACAAAAAATCCTCCCCCACGACAAAGGCTTATTGCACCAGCACGTTCCAAACGCACGCATTCTAAAATTACCTATTTGCATAATCGATGTACCTTCCCTCGCTGTTCAATGTTTGTGTGGACTGTCAAGCTGTTCCTTTTTTATCACCGAGAAAAACGGTCCAAGTGCACTAGTGCACTTTACACTATTTTGATGATGGCAATACACTTTTCATCTACGAGTCAATTTATTGTCTCCATTATCATTTGGTATTACGCAGACGTCATAGAACGTATTCAAGTCCGCTTCTTCAAACGTTTACTCTGTTTACAATGAATAATCCTGACTATATTGTGCGCATCGAAACTAACTCAATCAAATGATCATAGATAGTACTCGAATCTTTTTCAACTTGGCTCAATAGATCGAAAACAATGAACAACACGAGACTTTCCAAAATTTGCTATGAACGTTTACTTGTTTCAGAGCAGAATAATAGTTCAATAGGCTTCTGCAGCTGAAAGAATACTTATCATTTGCAGATTGTGAAAACCTATGGCAAAACTTTATGAATTATCTAACAAAAAAACTAATGAATGATATTCTGACTGAATTCAAGCGGAAACAATTATCTCTCGACTGAGAAGGACTTGTGAATTCTTCCTTTCCGCTCATATACAATGGCCTATCACTCTACGAACTATCAAAATCCTACCTGAGTGTTCCCTCGCCAATTTACATAACACGTATTATTTCCCAAATCAGGACTTGTAGCAGAAAGTCTTTGATGTTCTAATTTTATTGTTCCGTTTACATTATTGACCATACAAAAGTTTGCTCAATTTGGAATCTACAAGTAACTGAATCACTGGGTATAAGGCATCAGGAAGGCATAAAACTTATATTCTAGACATGTTCATATGGGAATTTTTATGACTGTGGAGCAATGTTCCTTTTTTTCTCTTCTTGCTTTATTTTTCTTTCCTCTTTTTTTTTTCAATTGTCAGTAGTAAATATTCAATAATGGTTGTTTAAGTTTTTGCTCGGTGATGCCATTCAATATCGGGAATGAGGCAAGATGATTACCTTCAAGTATTTAGCCTCAATTTGAAAATGGTGGTGATGAGGAATATCTAAATATGGTATCATCATCAGGCATGATAGCAAATTCAGATTCCTGTGAGAACGAATTAAATGGCTGCCGGTCATTTGACTCCTATTATGTGTGACGCACTCAAGACCATCCAATAATTTGGTGAAAAAATGTTCAAGAGATCAAGAGATGTCCAATATTTGTGTCCATATACCTAAATTATGTTCTTCAATTCATCAGGGAATTTCTTTTGTTATCCATTGAAGATTCATTCAGGGTCCCTTTCAAGTATATTTTTCCATCAAAGCTGTTATTCGGTTGGAAATAATATGAATTTTCATTATCAATGAGCTATCATCTATTCAGTTCATGATGATAATTTAGTTTTTGAAAGTATTGAGGGATATTGTTGATATGAATCATTCCTCTTATTACGAAAAGGTAGGTACTCGGAATGAAAAAATGAGGCTGATGTGAGGTTATCGGATGTTATGAATGACTCTGTAGATTCAAAATACTATTTAAGAAAATGAATATTGTATTCTCAGTCGGACAGGAGTTGATGAATTCCATGAAGGAGATTCCCAATCATTTTTATAAAATGATTATAATTATCGAATATCGGAATTATTCGAAATCTGACTTCTAATGGAAATGATAATGTGCATGGAATATCGACTGACACATGTTTATTCAATCAAGGAGATGGAATATCGATGTTTTCAAATCTAGGGATTTTTTCTATTTGTTTCTACGAAAAAATATGAATATTATTAGGTATGGTGAGTTGAAGAGTAGGAGGAATGTGAACCAGGAAGTCATTGTCAAAAGTGCTTCTGGTTCAACGGAAAATGATATTGTTATGAAATCAGCAGGAAGTACCTCGAAAAAGAGGGAGAAAAATCACAACACGTCTGTTCCAGTATAATGCATATTTCATAGTCTGGCAGACTGGGTAGTATGATACCACCCAGTATCATATGTGTATGATGGTTCGGTTCATTGCTGAGATTTTTTTTATTGATGTGATTTGTACTTCTAGTGATCATATCGACTGGAATTCAGAGACGAACGAGCTATACAAAAATAATTTTCACTATTATAATCAAGAAAGGCATTCATCGAAGGATATATCTGGAAAGTATTTCCGCTCCAGTTTATGGAATAATCCAATGAAATCTGAGCATAGAATACGTAGAAATATACGTGTCCTGATCATGCTCAGGAGCAGAAGGAAGAAGAAAATAATTCCTTATATTTCATTAAAATTCCAAAACGTCTAATATCTGAACTATTTTCGCCGTAGGTACCTCAAGTTTTGAATCACTCTCGAATGAGCCAAATGTCTGTTTTGCGAATGTTAACATGACTATCTAAATACGGAATTTTGTTTACGAGGAAGTTATCACATCCACGAATAAAAACTCCGAAAAGATTCCCCAGTTTTTTATATTTAAAATATGCAAATTTAATCCATTATCTCGCAGCCTTCTATAAACTAGCACTTTTTCCTCACATGTTACGCCTAGAATAACAGAGATATTTTCACTGTAATCAAACTCCATACTCTCTGTTTCCAAACAGATGACAAGCGACAGCTGGTAACTTATAGTTATATAGAGATGTCCTGTGACCAATGCTCAATGTCTGTGGAGAGGATGGCGAACCAATCAAAAACGTAAAATTTTGAAGTGAAGGGGGTCAACAATCATTTCTCATAAGAATCCAATGTAATTTGATCGTTTGAAAATCCATATTTCAGGAAACTAAATCATCAATCTGAGGTTTTATTGATGATGAGCCATCGATCAACATTTATTGAAAGGAAAGAAATATGAAAGATGCTTTAACCGATAATGAATAGTTTCGACACAAAAAAATCCCAAAGTTGAAAAATCTCGATTTTGATGCCTTTATGAAATCAGCTCTCCAGAGAGAACCTAAGAATGCAATGGAATACAGGGTGATCTATCTGAATTATCGAAGTTGCTGAAAATATCTTAGATCGATATACAAAGAGCAAGTACTTGAGTAACCAAATTTTTAGAATGATCCTATGTCCCGTTCTCCGTAAACGTCTAATATATGCAGCTATAATATATAATTAAATATTCTGTGTATGTCATTAGGCAGGAAAGTATTTGTTTTCTGTTGTTTGGGCTATCAACCTCTCAAATGATTTACAAAAGTTTCAGGCAAACTTTGAAGCTCAATATCTTCCAAGATAATTGTTTTTTGTCAAAAATGTATTCTTTCATTTCGTTTTATTTTTTTGTCTCCTATCATCCTTTTCATTGATCGCCCCAATTTCGGAAACACCCAGTATATGAATTAGACTGATTCGTCGAGCTGCAAAGCAAAGATTGAAGTTACTGAAGGTTGTGTATTAACAGGTGAAGAGCTTGATAGCACTGCTTCGAACAGTGGAAAATACAAATGTAGGCATTTATAACATCTTACCTATTATGCATCAATATTCGATAGGTAAGACAGTATATAACCCTTCGCCAGACTCGCTTGTTGAATAGACAGTGGACGTGCCGACGATATAACAAAGATAATCTCGCACGTTATTCCATTCCTCTCTAGATATTCGCTTTTCAGTATTCGGTATTGATCTTAAGAGAATTATCCGTATTTCTGTAGGCATTCGAAATGTTGCTGGTAAACTAGTGTAATTCGAACCACCTGTTCAACACATGGCGTGAATCTGAAATTAAATTCGATATTTCGTGATTTTCACTTTTGTCCAAGGCGATCGAGGATCGAACCAGTGGTAGATCGTTCGTGGGAATGAAGAAAGGCATCCACTATCACGAATATAAACTGGTCAACATTGATAACGTCGTGGGTGGTTTCTGTTCGGTGATCGTGGTCCATAATATAGCCTGAATTCAAAGTAGAATAACTCATGAATTTCCTTACCAATTTGAAATCGCTTTCACCGATGATTAGCCTAATTTCTTGGCAGTTTGTTGTGGCCATATGAAACTTCCATCTTTTCAGATAACATTGCTACAGGGTGGTAATTGAATGGGTGTAAAATTGCATCGTGGTCGTCATCTTACCGTTTGAACAGATAATTTTTTTCATTTTTTTTCTCACCTGTATCCTCTTGATTGATGCTTTCTCTCGAAACATTTTCGGAATTTTCAAATTCAGAGCTTTGATAATCGTGTTATGAATATTCATTCAAAATGATGCATTTTTTCGACGATTTATTGAATGAAATTTAAAGTTGGAATTCTTTTTCGAAGAATCAGCGTTGAATGTATAGTCGTCGAATATGTGATTGTGTTCGGAGACAAAAAATTCTGAAGAAGTTTATACAAAGTGATACAAGAAATACTGAATGATGGAATGGTGAATAACGTAGTCTTCAGTAGATGAAACATAATTTTCTCTGTGTTACTAGTGAAAAAATTAAGTGTTACTTCGTCATGAGGATGTCTGGTGTCTGACCTCGAAATGGTTTTGTAATTTCGCGGATCGAAGGTCATACAATGAGTAAAAAATCACGGTTGTAGTTCCAGAAGTATGAAATTTCCATTTATTCTTGACGATGGATATACAAGGTGCGATAAAAAATATGTCCAGATTGTCCCAAGATGAAGAAGAATATGTTTAAACGTGATGAAAATCGCTATAATCCGAAGAAGGAATATAGTGTCGGTTATTGTCGAAAATTGTGGAATGTATAAATACGGTAACTTTTCATGAGGTTCATAGGAGGCAATATGAAAGAGACTGCAGAATTGCCATAGATTAAATAAAATGTTTTTCATTCTAATGAAGATAAATACAGTAAGTCCTCATGAGGCTTATACGAGGTAATGAGAAAGAGACTCCATAATTGCCATATATTCGTGCATACTTGTTACCATTGCATCTTATACTGTCAATATTGTCTTCAGAAGGA